CGCTCAGCCAGTGAGCGGGAACTGGTCTCCACATGGGATCCGAACCCTCGGCGGGAGCGCCGCCGCGCTCCCAAGCGGCGCACTCTCCAGTGCACCACCGGGCCGGCCCTACCCTATCATATTTTGATGCAACAAAAATACATAAATACATTGAAAATAAAATATTTTGAAATCCTATAAGACTCATCTGAAAAAATTGGATAATAATAGCATCTACTTCATTGTTGAAGATTAAATGACCTAATTCATGTAAATGCAAAGCCTGGCCCGTAGCCAGTACTAGAAAGATGTTTATACTTATTAGTATTTATAGGAGCACCTTTGTATGTTAGTGCAATTAATCTTTTGTGGGTTATAAGAGAGTACTTCAAAAAGTTCATGGAAGGATTCACATTATCTTTTAATTCTATTTTTACTCAAACTTTTTGAAGTACCCTTGTATATGTTACTGGCATTTTCTTTAATCTGCTATCTTTAACTTTGTTAATAGTGCTTTTAAATTGTATATTATCAAATCTGTAAATCTTTTCTGTTATGACTTCTGGGTTTTGTGTTTTGGGAAATCTTTCTTCAGCACAAGTTTTAAAAAATGTTTTTCCATATTTTTTTCTAATACTTTTATAGCTTTTGTGAGCATTTATTATTATTTTTTAATCTGAAATAAGGACATAGACCCAAATAGATAGCCAGTTGATCCAGCACTATTTGTTAAGGAATTCATAATTTTGCCACGGATTTGAAGGGTCATCTTGCCCATATATATTGAGTCCCCATATATATGGGTCTTTTTATAGATCCTCTGCTCTGTTCCATTCAACTATCAGCTTTTGTTTGCACCAGTATCACTCTGTTTTAAAGTATTATAGATTTGTGATTCTATTGTATATCTGTTAGGCAAGTGTTAGGCAAGTATTCTTATTTTTCAAATGCTTTTTATGNTATTGTATATCTGTTAGGCAAGTGTTAGGCAAGTATTCTTATTTTTCAAATGCTTTTTATGTTGTTATTCTTACACATTTAATCTGCCAACTAAACTTTGGAATTAGTTTGTTGAATTCTACTTTTAAAATTTTATTCAGATTTTGATAGGTATTGCTCTGAATTCACAAACTAACATAAGGGAAATGACCTCCCTACCATATTGAATCTTTTATATCTCTGTCCTTTTACTTTATGTACCAGATCAGGGGACCAAATCTGGCCTGCCACCTCTTTTTATATGGCATGGAAGTCAAGAATTTCTGTTGTATTTTTAAATGGCTGAGAAAAAAACAAACAAAAGAAAAATAATATTTTATGACATGTGAAAATGATATGAAATTCAAATTTCAGTGGCCACGCTCATTTGTATAGGTGTTGTCCATAGCAGAGCTGAGCAGATGTGATATGGACCATATGTGGTTCTTTCATTGCTTTGCACCACTGCTCAGAGCATTACAAATTGCAATGACACAATTATAACTCAACGGCATTT